ATCTTCGGCACTTTATCTCTACTTCGCAGAAAAACTGGGTAAAACTTTTGGATGCGGCCCAAATTTGCTTCAATGCCCAAAAGAGCTCTTCCACCAATAAGAGTCCTTTTGAGATTGTTACTGGCCAGCAACCGCTACTCCCTCATACAGTGGATATTGAACGAAGTACCAAGTCCCCTCAAGCAAAGAGCTTTTCTCAAGAGTGGAAACGAAATATTGAAATTGCTCGGAGTTATCTTGAAAAAGCTCAAAAACGGTATAAAAAGGCTGCTGATCTAAAGCGCCGTTTTATTGAATTCAATATTGGAGATCTGGTAATGGTTAAGCTTCCCGACAGAAATGTTTACAAACCAATAAGAGGGAAGGACTCAAGATTGTCACCAAAATACATTGGACCATTACCCATTGTGAAGAGGATTGGAAGAGTTGCATACAGAGTTGAACTCCCTTCATGGTGTAAAATCCACAAGGTCCTTCATGTTAGCGTGTTGATGCCATACTTTTCAGATAAGGAGGATGCATCTAGAAATGAGCCAAAACGACCTGTATTTGAACTGAAGAAAGCTGGAAAGAAGGTTGCTGAAGCTATTCTTGACCATCGAATCACTCGGACTTCTAGAAAAGATCATCAGGAGTACTTGGTCAAATAGATGGGATGCAGCAGCGAGGAGAATACTTGGGAAAGAGTAAAAGATCTCGGGGCCTTCAAATCATTAATTGAAGAGTATCATGCATTGATGGCACCGAGGACGTCGCCAAAATAAATGGGGGAGAATGTCAAGGACCGCAGCTTTACTTAGCCCCTTGACACTATCGCAGCCGCAGTTTGCCCAACTTCGGCCGCACATTGTAAATATTACTTCAAGTTTGAGTTGTAATTTTCGTTTCATTGTAATAGTTATTTTAATTGTAAAATAGCTCTGATATTGGTAAAAGATTAGTATGATTCCTCGTCTTTTAAACGTCTACTCCCGTCACTTGGGTTTTTGTTCAGAATGCTATTATAGGGGGTATTAGTCATTCAAAAATCTTTCAAGCTCACTGGTGTCCGCCCCCTGCACCAGCATTTGTAATTTTCTGCTTTCATCAATTGTAATGTTCAGTTTTCAGCAATCAATGTTCAATTTACTTTCAATGTATTCAAATTCTCAATTGTAAGCTTTCTACAAAATTGCAATCAAATTTTCTTTCGTCCCGACGCGACCGAGAAAAGGCGGAAGGTAGTCTAGCGGAGCAGACTATTGCCGCACGGTGTCCCTTTCTGTGCCAAGAAGAAAGGCACCCCGTGAAACTTGGACTTCAAACTTAATGACACCATCACTGGCTATGCCTCTATCTTGAACGCCATGACTCATGTTCACGCCAATTTTTAGATCAATAATGTCAATGTACTTCATGTCTTGGTCATGAATATGGTCCAAGAATGCCAGTGGCACATTTTTTTCACCCTCAGATGCTTTAGTGGCTTCATCTTCAATGGTGCTACCCCGCCACAGTATTGCAATATTAGTGAGTTAAAGGTACATAATCCCGTCACCATATGTCCAAAGTTCTAATACTTATTATTATTACTTTATAAATCTGACAATGGACCCTTATCTGTACGTAGCTAGATTTTTCTTGAGATCCATCAGACCGGATAGAACAGTCCTTGAGGAATCAGAAAATGACATAGGATGGATTCGCTTCCCTCGATCTATGAATGGGAAATGACAAGGACATGCTTGTCAGATTAAACCATCCTCTTGACCATAAGTAAGAATAGGAATTTCGGAGCCAAAAGCTAAAAACCCCCCCCACTTCTGTTGGAGTTGTAATTCCAAAATTATCCAGCCAATTTTAAGGTGAGGCAAGAGTGTTGTTTCTACAATTGACGAGGATCAGTCCTCTCCTTGCAGTTGCAATCAAATTCATTCTTTAAACCAACTAATTCATCTTCATCTTCACAAATTTGACAAATCTGCCTGCTCAAATGTCCAAATTCTTTAACGAGTTTATTGAAAAAAATTGGGGTGCCGTCGCAAGTGTTATTACCCATAAACTCTTCTTTCTCGACATAAAAAATTGGTGGGCCAATTTAGTCCTCACCTAAATCAATGGACTTATCAATCGTTGCTTTTTTTGGGGGCCATCAATCCATTTTGATACATCTGCTGCTTCAATTTCTCCATTTGTTAACACAGTTGTTTCGTCTCTATCACTTGTTCCAACTCTTCACTTGTAGATGCAGTTGTGCTAACTCATTACGTTGTTAAGTCATTATGTTGCATGATTTTTGCTATCTGAGCTTCACAAATTCAGGTTGTAGCTGAGTTCAAGCGAAATATGATAAACACTCCGATAACTCGTTGATTCAACCTATGAATACCAAGAATTAGCTAACATAGATACGACACTTTTAATAATTTATTAATTTGTCAAAGCAAGAAACATCCATCACAGTGTGTGCTCAGCTGAAATATAGAGAAAACCTAATTGACTTTTAATCATATTTGCACCATTGGTTGTTAACTTCTTCAAAAAATATTTACTAAGCCCCTGCTTGGCTCCAATTTTTTTTAAAACTCATTTTCTTCCACACACATTTTATGGGCCACCTAAAACTTTTATCAACTTTTCAACCATATAGGGGCCAAGTCTAGTTCTATAAAATAATAAAATAACTAAATGAACACGGTAAACCAAAATCTAAGATGATAAAAATGCCAAGCCCAAACTGTTTCCATCTTCATTTATATGTTATCAAATTCATTTTTTGTTTAAGTTTGTTTCAGATTGCTTTATAACTCTCATCTGGATATACTGGTATCAACTGAAAATCCAAACAAACTTGCTTAATGTAGTTAGGTATTTGGTTAAAAAGCAAACCAGACATCCTACAACTGGATTGCATAAGTAATTGGGGTGCCCTTTGGTGAACTTCTCAGCCTCAAACGCATGTTTCAAAATTCCGTGAGGGAGTTTTTACTTTCTAAAAGTCCAGTCAGAGAAGCCCACCTATGTAGTTATTAAATATCTATTTCTTAGAGACTTTAAAATTTTTATTTGTGGCGAAGTTAAACCTTTGTTATGTCCCTATATTAGTTCTAGCAAATCTTGATTTTACCTTAATTTATCAATAATCAATATATTATTGGAAGTTTCTTAAAGTCCATCCTACGAACCCAATTTCTGAAATTAGAGCTTGCATTCCAAATCCAAAGCCAAACAGATCCTTAGACTATGTACTTCGTCATATATAGAGTAATCACTGATGGCAGTTCTATTATACTCCCTTGTTCGACTTAAACCTCCTTTAACCAAATCTAAATTAGTTCTACATGCTCTGTTCTCATTGCTCTCTCATTCTCTTTCAATAAAAAATGTTATTATTTTTTCCTAGAATGCTTCCAACCTTAGTGTCCTGGATACTTGCACATGCTATTTTGTCAAATATTTCTTTTTCTTTTTCTTTTTTTTTTTTTATCTGCAAATTAAGAAGCATTTATTGAGTGAGGTTTAAAATAAGCGAGAGGGAAAATGTGGAGGAATTAATTTGAACCATTAAATTATACAACTGTTTTACGTTTCAATTTATAGTCTGCCTTTTAAACTTCATAAAATGCCTGTGATCGATAAACTATTTTTTTTCTGTTTCTCTAGCTAGTAATTGAAATGGTTTTCCGTCTCTTTTTATTTGCTAAAATACATCAAAGCTCCCTCTATTTGAAATTGAAGACCATGCTGAGCAGTCTTACTTTTAAATCATATCTTGTAGATCAAGTCGTGAAAATGATTTCAAAGACAAAATGTAGAGAAAAATGCCATGAAAACCATCAGGCATTAGGTAGTTGAAATTGTTTGAATGGTAATAACTTTGAGTTAAGTTACACGAGGAAATCCAAGACTGCTCCTGTGAATTTTTTTTTTACAATAGACATCAACTCGTATCTTATTGACATTGATTACAGACAAAAACTATGAATGAGTTCTTGATAAAATAAGCACGATGAAACTCCTTTCCGAATCTCCCAAGTTGTTTGTTGGTGCAATTGCCTTATTTTAATTTTGACTTGTTATGGGAAAGCTAGTAGCACCCTCTTGGGGTCCTTTCATCTGAGAGATATTAAAATTCACGAGAATATGACCTCACGGGAATTGATATTTTTTTTTTAAAAGATTTGACATGTGAAGAGGTTGGGGTTTCATTTGCTGTTACAATCATTACAATGAAGTTAAGAGTAAAAACTTCATTTGCATTCTAAGTTTCTGTCAATCCATGCGACTTATTTTCTACTATATTTTCAACCAGTGAAATTCAAAAAATCTACAACATTCACGAACTGAACATTCATAATTGTTAGTTTCCGAGAATTTGTGAATTCTTATCTAATTTTTCACATTTATAAAAAAAATCCTACATGGTTCTTTTTCATAGCCGACTGCAAATTTTTTGAACAAGATTAATGCTCAGTTTTTTGTCGTTTATATCCATTTTTTGAAATCCATTCGGGGCATTGGCTTGGAAAATGTAGAGGGTCAAAGTGTTAGACTGAGATCGAATTGGGAGTCAAAAATAATTCTTATTTCATCAATTAAAAAAAAAAAAAAGTTAGTTCTATGAAGCCAAGGATACATAACATGGCATGGATATATGTCTGCACCAAATCGCTGCTAAAGAGTATAATTTTTTCCAAAAACTATGCAATTGGGAAACCAATAACTTATTCAACATTCATCCCTATTTTAAAGAATGTTTTTTTAATTAGGCTATAACTGGACCAGTTCATGGTTTTTCCTTACCAAAAAGCAAAAATGAAATTGAAAGTGAGTGTTTTCACGTGTTTCTTGGCTTAACCTTTTCCCCAGTGGTTTTATACACCCAACCGGATGGCAATTTTGGTGGAAACACATCATACCATGCATCTCACTTAAATGCTTTCATGTGTTTGTAGTATCCCTTTTTGTTCACATGTGGCATAACTTTTTTTTTTTAACAGTTCCAACTTCTGAAATTGCAGGGTCAAACTTTGGCTTTTCATTGCATATGTTGTATCCTTCGTCTCCCTGGCCGCTTCCGTGGGCCTATTGATACAAGATGCTCTGGTGAAATCTGGACCTTCAGCATGGACAGGAACTGCAGGTGTTTTTCAATGTGTGTTTGTATTAATCAGGTAGTTACAATTGGTTTTTTGGTTTATTTTTGATTGACAGAATAATTTGCCTTTTTTTCTTTAATTGGTTGCTGGTCCTCCCTATCTTTTCTGGTCATTTGATTCTTTCCTTCCTTTTATTTTTTCGGGTGGAGTGGTGAGGAGGGAGCAGATTCTCTAGTGCTTCTGGGATTTCTTGTGCTTTAGTGTGTGCTCAGACTCAATTCAGCACTGAGTTCCTAAATGTCAATGAACAACTCATATTAATTACAGTGGATCTTGGAAGTTTATAGTTTAGGATTCAGGGTTACGCCCCCCGCCCGCCAGCCCGACCCACACACTCACGCGCACCTAGCAACAACTTGATGTCATTCTTTTGCATTATCTATATTTATTTATCTCTTGGTTGATGATTTATGCGAAGTTTATGATATTCTTGCAGTGGGCTGATGTACTGGACTTCTCATTCTGAATAACCAAGTACCCTCAAACGTGGACTGTCTGCAAATTGAGATTGTTTGCCGGTTGTACATGCCTGTGTTTCTGTATCTGTTATGTTAGTTAGATACAAAGGTCGGTCTGTTTTAATAAAAAACTTTCCGATTCTCTTGTACAAAACATTCAGAATGTGCTCCAAAATGTCAGGGTCTCCCCCTTGGATCACATTTAGGTGGTGTATTCAATTTAGATTTTAAAGATTTTTTTATATACTCTAGTGATTGACTTTTGTAAAGTTAGTGTGATTTTTATTTATAGATTTGTCGTAAATTTGATTTGACTTTTATTTAAAGACTTATATAGATTTTTTTAGAATTTATTTGACTTTTGGAAACTTTCATTTTTATAGAAGTCCCATTGGGATTGCAATTCCAGTTTAGGTGGCACTAATGTAGTATAAAGGGGTTGCTTGAGCCCTTTTATTTTTATTTTTATTATTTTTTTTTTTCAAAAAATGCATTTTGTAATAGTGTTACCATGGAGAATGTGTGGTTAAAAAATAAAGAAAAATCTTGAGTTCGAGTGTAATATTATTTAATTTTATTGAAAAATGTATGATTGAAATTGAGACAAATGCATTTTGATTAAAAAAAGGGGAAGCCGGGGGCTCAAACAAGGGCTAAATAGTAATTGGAATTAAAGTGACAATTTCATATGTAAAAGTTTAAGTATTACACATTTTAAAATTAAAAAAATAAGTTTCAAAGTTTAAAAATCAGATTTTTATTAAAATTTATTTATGGTTTAATTAATTAATTAATTAATTATCTTAGCGATTAAATATGTTTAGGTCGCAAATCTATACAATTTGGTCATAAATTAACAATTTAATTGGTCACTTATTATTTTTTTGTTACAAATCAAAAAAAATTATTTCACCAATTATTTTGCGATTATAATTCAAAAAATTTGTAGGTCATAGTTTGTTTATCGATCAAAAATCAAAATATTAATTAGTAACGAATTAATTTTTAGTCATAAATTATCAAATTATTGGTTATAACTTATTTCTCGATCACAAATAAAAAATTTGATAGGTCACATATCACAAATATTATAGGTCACAATTTATTAAACAGTCACAAATTATTAAATTTTTAGGTTACATATTATTTCTTAGTCACTATTTAGTATTTATCTTTTCATTGTTCACATATTGTTTATTGGTCATAGATTAATCAATTCACTGGTCACAATCAACAAAATAATTTGTGATCATCATCAACACTTGCGACCACCACTTCAACACTGCTTCCAACAGCACCACCACTATCGTCATCGGCAAAACCATCACCATATTGATCACAAATTAATCAATTTATTGGTCACAACTTTCAATCAATCAATAAAATTGTCACAAACACCCACACCTTATCACACCACTCCAAAGCATCGAACCACCGCCAACCTCCACCAACAATGTCGCCTATCGTCAGCACCGTCGATATCACCACCACTACAAACACCTACGCCCCATCCTACTACTTCAAAGCACCGTACCACAACAAAAAACCACCAATGATGTTGCCCATTGCTACTACCATTGATATCACCACCACTATAACACCAATAGTAACACCACCACCATTGCGGCGAGCGCCTGCACACCAGGCTATACCACCGCCGCCGCCAGATCCACCACCGCTATAAAGCGTCACCACACAAAACACCACCTAAAATTACCACCACATAAACACCACCCAAAGCCGCCACCTCACAATCACCATCACCATCACCACCACCACCACACAAAACCACACAGCACCACAACCACCACCACAAGATCTCTACCATACAAAACAACATCATTTGTGAAGAGTCGTCGGAGTAAGAGAGTGGATCTGCCTCGCAGATATTGCTTCGTCAACGCCTAATCACGAACCACAAATCATAGCCCACAATATTTGTCTAACATCGCTGATCAATATAGTTGCGACATTTGTGCAAATCGAGAAGCGTGTTGAGCGGCAACGACGACGTCTTTATTGCAATAGCATCAACTGCGACCGCGTCTTCGTCGGAGAAGAGAAAGTAAGGGATAGAGAGAGACGAGCGAGGGAGAGGGAGGAGATGGGGGATGCATCTTTTGCTGGGTAGTGGGTAGGGGTTTTTTTAATTAGTTTATTTAAATAATTAATTAAAAAAACTGATTTTTGAAATATCAAACTTCCAATTTGATTTAGGAATTTTGAATAATTAAAGTATGATTTTGTATAATTTTCGTAAAATTAAATGAGTCATTTAACTCCACTTACTATTTAGTTATAATCTAGCTACACCTAAATTGAGCTTGTAACTTCAGTTGAACTACATAACATTACTCTTTAAACTTTTGCTACAAATACATCGAGGTTGACAGATCGATGTATAGCCCTCTCAGAATAGAGGGACCCACGATTTTTTATTAGGTGTGGCCCTACTTTGAGGGGCTCTATGTACACCGAGCTGTCAACCCTTGGTGTACAAGTAGCAAAATTCTACTCTTTATTAGAATGATTATGCTAGTTTTCCAGGGCTACATGAGCCCTCGAAAAAGGGGCGCCAAGTGGCTTCTCGGTAGACAGGGCCATGTAGCCTTGGATGTTTAGCCAACGTTTTTTTAAATACATATTTTAACATCAATCACTATTTCATAATATACTTTTTGAAATTAAATGGGCAAAACAAGCCATTAATGAGTTTTTTTTTTCCTATAGTACATGCCTGATCACATGATACAGAAAGTCAGATTTTTGACAGGATAGATATAAAGTGGATAAACCCGTTGAGCCTTCATGGACTATTTTGCCATCAGATTCAATTTTAAATTTACAACATTGCCCATCAAAATTTAACCCTACCATTCCTTTCTCACCAACCATAAATTTAAGGGTAGGAATGGAAAGTTAAAAATTTCAAAATGCATGACCGAGCAATGTCAGAGGAACCGTCCGATTTGTCTAACCTGGGGCTCACACTTGTTGAAGAATGGTTTGAAAAAACCAACCTGCTTCTTCGACATGGTCAAAAAACAGGGGCGCCAGGGGCCAAACACACGGTTAGCTTCTTCCTTACAAAATTTCCTGAAAATGTTGACATTAAAAGGGTGTTTGATAAGTATTTTTATGTAAAAATGTATTTTAAAATAGTAAATTGATGTAAAATATATGGTTAAAAAATAAGAAATTTTTTGATTTACGTGTAATATTATTTTAATAAAAAATGTATGGTTGAAAAGAAGAGAGAAAAATACATTTTGAAGAAAATGACTACCAAATGGGCTCTAATTAGAAGAGACATCATAGTTGGTTGGAAAGTGTGCGCATTCGGTGAGAAAAATAGTCCCATTCTGATGGTCATTTGTCAAAACACGTGTTTGACTATTCTTATAAGTTATCAAGCCCTTATTTAAGCTTTATTTTGAAGAAAAGAATGCATTTTTAAATAATGATTAATGGAGAATGTGTAATTAAAAATTAAGAAATAGTTGAATTTATGTGTAATATTATTTTATTAAAAAATACGTTGTTGAAAATGAATTTTGTAAAAATGAATTATTAAAAAAATGGGACTTGGCTAAAACTTTTTCTAATTTTTTTTTTTTGGTCAAACATGATTTTGAAATATCAAATTTTACTTTTCTATAAAGTAAAATTTAGCCAATGTGGTCAAACTTATCAGAGCCGATTCATTTTGACAACAACGATGGGTGTGGCAAAGAAGTATTGATTGAAAAGATGTGTTATTTTTTAAACTGTCCAATGACAACATATTATCAACAAAGTTGTCAAATTCATTGCACATGAAGCATTGCTCTTTTGACAAACTACCTGTTCGAAAATAGAGTAAAAAGTCGAAAAGTTGTACAATTTTTGAAAGAGGAAACAATTTTGACGTAATATTCTCATGACAAGGTTAAAAATACTATTAGTTGTGTCCTTGTTTGAGTCCCATTATTTTGTAAAAACAGATTTTGAAATAGTAATTTTTTGAAAAATGTGTTGTTGAAAAGTGAAATTTTTTTAGATTTGCGTGTAATATTATTTTATTAAGAGAATATGAAGGTTAAAAATGAGTTTGGAGAAAAATGTATTATTGAAAAATGGTGTTCTCATTTTGATTAAAAATACAATTTGTCACCAAACATATAAGGTTGTGTTTGGTTTCTTATTTTCAAGCCATTTTTTGTTTTTAGTTTTCAAAAATGCCCAAAATGTATTTGTTCTATCGTTCCAAAAATGCATTTTGAAAACAAGGAAAAATTTATAACTGAAGCTTAAAATGATTTTTTTCCGTTTCGAGTGTTTTCAATTACAAAACTCAAAACACACCAATTTTTATTTTTTATTTTTTTTTATCTAGGGAATGCTCAACAATACTTTTAAAATAAAATATTGTAATCTTATACAATTTAGTGAAGTATAAAAATTTTAAAATCCACAAAATATTTTTTAGTTTCCATTTTTTTTTGTTGATCGAAATTTGGAAGAACTATTATTTCTTTTTTAACTGTCCAATTGACAGCAAAATACATCTAGAATGATGAATGACGGACTAGCTATTTTCTTTACAACGATTCCTATTTTTGGTCTATAAATTTATTATTTATTTTTTTATTTTTGTAGTAAGAAAAAAAGTAAATTCATCAAGTTTAAAATATATATTATCTGGTAATATATTAGCATAAAATTATTATGTTTTACTAAATAATAAAATTAATTGAATAAATTTCATAAAACAATTTCTAAAAATTTTAAGCCAAACGCATTTTTTAGTTTTCTGTTTTGAGAAACCGTTTTTATAAATGACAAACCAAACACGTTTTCTGTAATTCGAAAATAGTCACTCAAAACAAAAAACTAAAAATGGAGGTTTATTTCTATTAGAATGATGCCAGTTTACCAAATTTAAAATATATATTATCTGATAATATATTAGCATAAAATTAATATGGTTTACTAAATAATCAAATTAATTGAATAATTGTCATGAAAAAATTTCTAAAAAATTTAAGCCAAACACATTTTCTAGTTTTTTGATTTGAGAAACCGTTTTTTGATGTGAGAAATCGTTTTGCAAAATGACAAACCAAACACGTTTTCTGTAATTTGAAAATAGTCACTTAAAACAGAAACGGAAACACAACCCAAACATATTCTAATATTTTTTATTTTGGACATTTAATTTTTTCGTTTTAAATTAGTTATAATGTTTTATATTTGTATTAAATTAGACTTTCATATCTACTTCTCTCCTTCAAAAAGTATGGGAATTGTTGACTTCTATATTTGTGAATTATAACATATA